AATCTGCACAAAAACGATCTGCAACCCGCGTTAAAGTTTTAAACCGAAAAATCAAAAAAAATTTATGGCCCCCCCCCCCCAATTTTAGAAGCCTCGCGCCAGCCCTGCTCCAGGTAGTCTTAAAGTTGCATGGAACATACGTAATCAATCAGGCTGAATCTGACGGCAATGTTTACTTTTAGACAAGAGCTCAAGAACAAGGCGAAAATCGAATGTTTTGAAAATTGGGGTTACCACGCTGTTTTTACCTAATATTAAAAAATCCACAGGTCACTCAGAAACATCCGGACGAATGGGAAACTTCAGGACGTAGGAAATTCCGACTAATGTATACCCTGTTTATAAAAAACCTAGAGAAAAAGATTCTAAAATCATTATGGTTTGTCAAAACGTTGTCTAGAAAAATTTTATGCAGAAATATTGTTTTCAATTTCTTTTGATCAATAATTACGTTAAAAAAAGGATAAAACTAATATTCCCGTGAAGTTTCCCACTCGTCTGGATGTTTCTGAGTGAGCTGTAGATATTTTAATATTAGGTGACAATAGCGTGGTAACCCCAATTTTTAAAAAACTCGGTTTTCGCCTTGTTCTTGAGCTCTTGTCTAAAAATAAACATTGCCATCAGATTCAGCATGGTTGATTAGAGAATTCCTTCTATAAATCAGCAGTTTTGAAAATTCAAAACGGATTGTCGCATTAGTAAAGTTTTATCTACAAATGTTCAAATGGCACCTTTTCACCGTAAATTGAGCTTGTGCTTTGACATGTTTTTATGGAAAATAAAGGTTACATTCAGAATCTTCAAATAAAATACGATGAAACTGGAAGTTTAGTTTCCATGAGTATAAAGGGTGTCCCAGAAGTTCTGAAACGATTTCTAGAACGAAGAATTTAGAAATTATTTCAGAACTTGTTCGATACCCTTTTAGACCAAACAATAGACAATTTAATTCTCTACAAGATTGTATATTTATTTTTAATATTCATCTTTCATGTTTGGCACAGTAAGACTAACAGGAAAAGCTTCAAATTTTTTAACGACATCACGTAGTTTTAAAGTGCAGACCACTCTCCTTTTTAATTGTTTATAATGAATACAAAAAATCTGAAATAATTTTATTACAGTTCAATGGTGGAGAATTTTACAAAAGAGTTTACTTGAAGGAAAACATGAATCCGGCTAAGAAGAGGATTTGGCTCATTTTTATTTGCATACTTTTTATACTCAAAATCGATTGATTCTAGTATTTTACGATGCGCTGAATAATTTGGTGAAATCAGAATGGTTCCAGACCTTATGGAAAAATTTTTAGGTATACACGGACATGTATCATGTGTAAAGAACAAGATCTACTGAGTTACAGAAGAAAAGTGAAACCGAACATAATACAGATTCTGAAAGCTGGCTTCCTCTTCTATAAAGTAACGAATAACACAAAGTTCAAATATTACATGGACAGGGATTAGACATAATACCATACTTTTTATTCGAGCTTTGAATTTGGGATCCCGTAGACGATAGGATCGATGAAGTATCATATGACCAGGTTTTCAACAAAAAAGTTCGTGCATTCACGCTGCGGCGCTCCTTGTATCCCAGAGCACTTAACGGAGAAAGTTTTGGTCAAGAAAGTGGTCCTGATGATATTTCATTCGATCATGATCGTTTAGGTGACCTCTGGCCTATTGACGAGGATCTAAGACAGCATTGGACGCGAAGAGGTGCCGGATTAGTTTGAAATCGAATATACATGTTTCAAAGACTGCATTAGAGCCGAAATCCGAGTGAACCCTTATCCAACGCAACATCGCACAGTGGGCAATTTTTTATTAGGCGCGTGGACATTTGGTTTTAAAGCATTCTAAGAACCTCAAAAAACTATTTTTATAGGTTTTCGTATATGCTCTTTCCATAGGAGTGCTTTTCAGAGCTTTAAAGTATTTCAAACTGGGTTTTCTAGAGATCATTGG